CTGCGGAAGCCTGCAGGTCACTCTCCCGCCGGAACGCCTCTCCTCGGAGCGAGGCTCCAGGTCGGACTGCGGAGGGGAAGACCCTCTTTCTCTGTCCTCTTCGTCAGGCAGTAAAAGTAAGATCCCACGACCCATGAGCGCCACCTTTGTTCCCGAGCAGCTCAGCGGCAGACTCGTGCCTCACCCACCTCCCGGGAAACCGTCTGCGGGCCCATGTGCCGACCACAGGTATGACGCAATGCACAATGGATTTTGCTGCTTAATTCATATTCCAGAAATGCAAGACTATATTTTAAAAATGTATTTATTCGGTCTTCTCTCTTTGGAGGCGGCGGCGTTTGCGAGTGCGCGCCAGCAGCACCAGCGACGCGGACTCCTTGTCCAGTGTGAACCAGTTGGCGCAGGACCGCAGCGGCCAGCTGGTCAGCCCGCCTCCACCCCGCCCTTGCGGCTCCTCCGTCCTGCAGCGCTCGCTGAGTTGCTCGCCGTCCCGCCAGGAGCCCCGCGACGGCAAGGCACCGCCTGTGGGACGCAGCCGCTCCGGCTCATCTGCGCCACCTCCTCCTCCCGCCCCTCGACACGGCCCCTTGCAAGCCAAGTCATCCGGGCAGACTCCGTTGGTCCCGCGCTCCATAGGAAAAGGTTTGATCAAGGAGAGCAAAGGCTCAAGGAAACTGAAACGGTGATTAACAGAAAAGACCGATCGGCATCTGTAAATACAGTATGTGCTCAAGGGAATGGGTACTGTATGTAATGTAAGAAAAAAAAGGTGTGTATTTATTTATTTGCTACATTAGCTCAAATTGATCCATGAACTATACCTTGAAACGCCGGAGTGATTTTGTGCAGACACTTCGGGGATGTTTGATGAAACCGGTTGCAACCGGGGTGCAAAATTCAAACTGAGCGCTCACTTACCCTTATCATGGCAAATGCTTGAAATGATCAGATTTGATGCCATCCTACACTCATGTTTCACATCGTCGGGAGAGTAGTGGACTTCCTGTTCCATGTTGAACATGGGTTCCTTCAGACTTTCTCATGTGTTCTTTTGGCACAGATGACTCACTTCCATGTCCATCAGTGAAGCATGTTTACTTAACTCGGGCTGTTACTAAATGAGATTTGGGTAGGTTATGTCGGGAAGCCCCCCCCCCCTTTTTTTTTTGTTTGGACCATGATACCCTTGGCAGTTTTGTTTGCAATCTTTTAAATTGCCACATTGAACACTACTCCCAACACTAATTTCACAAATCTGTTTCGGTTACTTTCATCTGTAGAGCCAACCAAATTGTCACCAGGTATAATTTTGCACACTGGTTCCAACCCTAAAGCCAGCAGCATATCAGTGAGTTTTGTCCATGTATAGCCTTTTGAGGAACTTCCCATCATGTGCAAGCACATCCATTCAGTAGAAGATACATTAAAAATTTATGTCTCTAAAGTATAGTGCTAGGAAAAAAAAAGTACTTGTGCGTTTGGCTTTGAAGTTTCCACAGTAGCGTTGCTTCTTAACAGGTAAAACAGCAATGTTGTTTTTGCCTCACCATAACCTCGTCATGCATTCTACATCTGTAAGTCTATTATTCTTCTAAATGTGCTTGAATGTTTGACATGCCATATCTGCCCATGAGAAAAACCAAATGAACCACTGCTAAAGTGGTAACCAGTTGCTACAAGGTCAGTAAACATCCAGCTGCAAAGCCAGGGAATGTGCCGTTCAGCCGGAGAACCTCCGCTTAATAGTAACCACAAATAGTTCTGCATCAGCATATTAGAATGTATTTATGAGCACACTCGAACTTCAGTATTGTAAATGCACATGAGTCATTTTAGTTTTGTTTTTATTCATTTGTCATCAGCATATATGACTGTATTTTTACCAAGCTGCATTTGATCATGAAAATACATGTTCACAAGCCAAAAAAAAGTGTTGTTATTGACTGTCCAAGTCAGTTTCAAGTACCCAAAGTAATTATCAGTCAATGAGTTTAATAGAGGAAACAAGCACTTGAGAATAATGCCAAACAAATTGGCAATTGATTTTTTTTTTTGGTTTGTTCTGATGCCATTACACCCATAGGCCAAAATGGTTGGCAAATGAGACCTTGTCCATAAGTCAATATTTTATTTCAAATGAGACATAGCACAGAAGTGAATATTTTTGTAATTTCATGTAAATTCGTAAATGCCTGAATGTTAATTTACAGTGAGTCAAAAGACATTATAGGCTGGTATACAGTTACATACAGAAATATCCGTCCATCTGTTATCCGAGCCGCTTATCCTCACGAGGGTTGCGGGCTATCCCAGCTGTCTTCGGGCAGTAGGCGGGGTACAGCCTGAACTAGTTGGCAATCGCACTCGAGTTAAAAAATGTGTAAGAAACTGTTTATCCAAATGACCGTAACCTTGAAGTCAGCAGCATATTTGTTAAATGTTTTATAACCCTGTTCATGCCAATCCAGTAAGAGTCTTTTGTCAATCTGCTGTATTGAGAATTGTAATTGTATTATGAGGTCTAGAAGAGTGAGGCGGTCTGTCGGGGGTCCTCTGGCAACACACTGATGGAGTCCTCCGCCTTTCCGCACAGCATGCAAAGCATGGTGTACTCCTGAATGATACAATATGAATGCACACAAATGAGACCGACGAAAAACAAGCAAAGCAACCAACAATTTACCTCGAAAGGAACGCAGAAAGTAACTCTACAATAAAATGCTACTAAGCATGATGCAGTGCAAATTCCAACACAGTAAAATCAGTACTTTTCCTCTTATAGTTGTCCTCATTTGGGTCACGGGTGAGTTGCAGCCTACACACTCATCCAAACTTGCCTTCACGTCTCTGGACAATATAGTAATATAACTAACCAACATGCTTGTTATTGCAGGAAGGTAGAGCAACAGCCATTGACATATTTTTCAGCCGTTTAGTGAATGTTGGGAGAAGCTGTAGTCAGCCACAGCTCACACCCAGACACTCGCATGCAGATTTGCAGATGTCAGTCACATGGTGCCCTTCCAGGGTGTGTGTAAAGGCACATGCATGTAGAGAGACCAAAACTATTAAGTGTGTTTTGTTTGTCGCTGCAATGTAGATTTTCATCAATACTGGGTGCTGCTCATGAAATTAATGTTCTCACAGAACAAATAAAATTTCACTAACTCATTTTGATGGTTTTCCCACTTACCTGATATTCATCAACAACAGAGAATGTATATTCATGCCTGGCGATGACGTGGTCACAGTTTTTACAAACATCTAGAAGAAAAACAATGTTTATTTTTAATAGCAAGAGGATTATAAAGGTATTTTTTTTTAGATATTTAATATGTGAGCTTCTAATTGTTTATACATATGTGAGCATTACTTTACAAGATGGTGGGAGCAAAGTATCAAGGGAAGGAGATTAAAATGGACAATGGGATAAAAGGAACAATGCATTAAATTTATCACAATGATTTACGGTCGTAAGTGACAATCTCCTCTCCATCATCATCCTCTGTGTCTTTATTACAGATCAACACAAAGTCCCTGTGATGACATTTGGCACAGCCCAGGTAGTTCATAAGATAGGAGCCATTCTCGAGACAAGTGCTTCCCTGGGCAGAAAAAAAAGAAAACGTTTTATGTAAGATATTATTATAAACATCTAAATCAAGATGTTAGTGTCCATTACTAATCCCAAATTGTTCAGTTACTACTGACAAAATCAGAATTTAAACGTACCCGGTCGGGGTATTCTTTTTGCACACAGCCGTTGCACATTTTTACTTATTAAAAAAAGGATGATGTCGAATGTGCAGTCTTAAAAAAGACTTTGTCATTTAATGTTTTAATCAAAGTGCGTCTTCCGTAAACACCGCTTGATAGCTTAGCATAGAATTATACTTGATACCGGAAGTAAGTCACCATAAGAATATGTACTTTCCGGATTGAAATTTCCGGATTGTTTGTCCTTGCCAGAAAAACAAAACAAAAAAGTAGACGAGTAAACACGTTAGATTGTTTAAAAATGTCAAATCTAACATTTTAATTCAGTCATTTTCACGGGTATTTATTGAAAATGTTTTTTGTTTTTTTTTTGTTGTTGTTTTAATGTGGAAGAAAGATGTGACGTTTTTGTCCAAGGGCGGGAGAGAGCGACGTCATCCAACATGGCGGCTTCATCGCGGTGCGAGTGTATGAGCATGTAAACCTTCATGTAAAATGTATATCTTCTATTGACATTTTTATATTAGATAAAATATTCCGGTAAGTGTAATCCTTTGAATGTCTACTGTTGTTGCCTGTACGTGTAGCCGTTTATGTCAAGCGAACACAGATACACTTCGACGAATGTCGGCTGTTGAGTCCACAACAGACGCATTAAATCTTATTTTTTTTCTCTTAGTTAGTTTTTTCGTTTGTTTTTGCTAATAATTAGTCACAACGAGCTTTGTTGGTTGTTGCTTTGTAGCGGCATTTCTCAAGCTCCTCACTCCTCTTTTCTGTCAGTCAATATACTCAACCAATTTCAGGCCTCCATGCGTGCGAGACGTGTCGAATTCAAATGAATACCAAGGTTGACATTTACAATATTAATTATCATATTTGCTCCATGAAATTGTATACATATTTTCCCTACGAGGCTATTAGTCAGTCTAATGTCCCAAAGGCCTTCAGAATCAGTCATGCTGGCCGATGTAAATTTGCCCACTTAGCATTGCGACTGTTTCTTCAACCAAACCGATTTAAAATTGGCCTCACAGGGCCAAATACCTGGCCCACAATAATGTCAGCATTTGTCAATCCCCTGTTTGGTTGGTCAAAGCGAAGTTTATTACAGACATATTCAACTATCATAATATTCCTGTTGGCATCTGTAACAATACATTTAATAATAAGCACCTCTTGTATGTGTGGTGTAAATTAGTTAACCGTTTCATGGTTTTGCCTTGCGATCAGATTCATGTTGTTTTGTATTGTGTTTATGTATAGTACTGGTGGTTTCTCTAATTGGATAAGTCTTAAGACCAGGTACCAAATGCACGGCCCACCTGTTTCCTTCATTCTTCTTTATTATTTCTTTTGCAGACATGGCAATGTTTGTACCTGCTCATACCACGGACAACCCGTTCCAGCCGAAGAAAAACATAAAGAGGCCAAAAAGTAATTTCTGCATTTTGTGCCGAGAAATGCTTTTGAAACATGTAAGTATCAATATTCAGTTTAATTAAAGATTACATGATGTAGTGTTATACTGCTATTGCAAGTGACTTGTGTCTATATGTGTCACTTGTAGAAAATACAAGAGCATATGCATAGTATGAAGCATCACAGAGAGCTGGACTCAGTGCTGTCCCCGTAGGTAACATTTTGGAGTAATTTATGGTACTTCTTCTGTCTCACAGTTGTGATATTCAGGGTCCAAAATGCAGCTCTACCTTTCCTGTGTAGAGTTTGTATGCTTGTGTGGGTTTTCTCTGGGTAGTATCTAACAGAGAAATGACAGTACTTGCACGCTTTTCTCAACATTTGACATGTTCAAATATGTTTACATTTTTAGAGTTTGACGAATGGATAAAAATTGAGGTTCTCTTTCATTCCATGAGTATCTTTTTTTTTCCACAGTATTCCGTGTCACGATTGCCAGGCGTGTCAGGTGTACTCAATGGGTCTTATACAATATGCCCAGCACATCGCCACCCCTCAACATCACATCAATTTAAAGAGCCTGATTTTAAAAAATGTGAAGCCCGTTTCCATTTACAAGACTCTCACCAAGGAGACGATCAAGGGTATCCTCCAGAGAAACAAAAATCTAAAAAAGGAGAAGTAAGATTTTAACCGGTTCGCTTTTACGCTTTTTACTTTAACTACCCCCATTTAATTTCTCTGTTTTGTGTTTTTTCACAGGAAGAAAGAGTCACAAAAGCTAAAAAAAAAACGAAGACAACTTAAAGCCAAGAAAGAGGCTGGCCAGAAGCAGGCTGAGCAAGAGGGAGCAAGCGGACAGCAGCCGGTGATGCGTCAAAACGCTGCTCCGAATACATTCAAACAGCAGATGCTGGGGGCCCAGCAGAAACCCAACCACACTGCCGTCATCCAAAACAACGGTAACAAACAGCTTGCGGATCATTACCTCGCCGCCAAAAGAAGCAGCTCCCAACACAGCAGTCAAACATACGGCGCATCGCAGCATTCCTCGTGGCCCTTGAGGTACCATTATAGCAATTACAAATACCAGCGTGAGGACCTTTCGGAATTTACTAGTGATCAGCTCCCCAGAGGAAGTCTCATCTTCAACCACAATGAGCCTTGCGCATCATCGGAACCAAAGCAAAGCGTGGCTGCCTCTAACTCGCAGCCAAGGCCTGTTCTCACCCAAGATATGGACGCCACCACCATGCTGAGGGAAATTAGACGGGCGCTGGGTGTGCGGGAGCCATGTAGGGCGGATCGTGAAGCCCGAAAGCAAAGCGGCGAGGTGGAAGCGCGCCTGTCTCAGCTTTGTTCCTCCTTGGAAACCCTCGAAAAGAACGCAGTGGCACAGGGCAGCGACGCCACCCTGGCCGGTGTCAAAAAAGCTGGCAAAACCGCCACATGGAAGAGCGACACAGCTGAAGATTATAATGCCCCCCAACCCTCAGCCGGCATCCCATCCAGTCCGCAGCTCGGCTCCACGCAGAAGGTTCGGATCGCTCACAAAGCAACGGCCGGTCAGAGGTCAGGAGAGGATTGTCTGAGAAGGATAATGCCAAAACTTACCCCAAAGCTGACGCCTCAGGCTCCCCCTTTCACCGGAGTCAGGTCGAAGCAAAGCTGGAGGCAGATGTTCAATGAAACGAAGAGGAAAGAAGGGACGCCAAGGTGAGAGCTTCATCAGCACCAGGGACCTGCTGGGTTAAGCATTTCAAAACCTTTTGCCGCCATTAGTGTGACCTATAATCTGTCCAGCTCAATTGTAAATAAAAAATAAAAACCGCCAAATCTTAGTTGAATTAACCTATTATATTCAAACTCATGGTAAATGGGAGTCAGCATAACTCCTGACATTGTTTCAAGGTCCTCCAATTAACTCCAAATACATTTCAGATGTTCTTGTGGTCTTATCCTGACATTTTTATGCTTCCTAACAAAAGCGTAAAGGTTTAGTGTAAACACGGGCAGGTATCGGCTCAGCAATTAATCAAATTCAAATTGGCTTCACCCTGTAATAGAATGTCATTTTCGAATTGTGATGGCGGCAAAAAAAAACAAAAAAAACTGTCAGCCTACAGTCAGTACAGTACAGTCCGCATGTTGAATAAAAATACACACACTTTCATATTCCAATTCAAAAGTACATGGGAATAAGACCTTGGAAAAAAAATAACCGCAAATTAGATTGCAATATTGATGGGGGAAAATATTTCGATTAATTTTGAAAATGTTTCAATCCTTTTTCACATTGTATCCTATCCACGTGAAAGCCTCAAATTTCATGCTGTCTTTCCTAACCGTCACACGTGTGCTTCCAGGTTTGGAATCGAGATGGCGAGCTCTCTACAAAACAAAACCACGTTTGATATGGGTGTCGACGAAGACCTGATGCTCTCGGAAGGCTTCCACTGGGAGTCGTTCTCTAATGCAAACATGCCCCTTACTCCTCCGCCTCCTCCTTCTCCTGCTCCTCCGCCATCTTGTCTCACTTCAACACCTCTTCCTGCTACCCACGACACGGCAGTGCAGGCGTCTCGCAGTGGGACCCCGTCAACGACAGGAGCGACTGATGAGGGAGCGTCTTTGACACCAGACAAATGCTGTGACCCAACAGCGACGGCGGCACCGCCAGTGAAGGTGGAACTTGAGCCAGAGAATAGTGGCTCCATCAAGAGGCAACACCAACATTTACAAGTGAGCTTATTTTTAGATTGGAGCCTGTTTATGGTGAAGGATGCATTCAAGACACACACTTTTGCGGTATTCTACTTTGGAGGCTACGCTGCTCATTGAAGAAAATGCCCGTTTGTTTCTGCAGGATAACGGAGTTCCTGATGTGGAGGCAGTTGCAAAAAAGAGGAAATTTAAATTGAACAATGGTAAACCGCAGCTATTGGTAACCCCGTTGCTCCCATGCTACGATGCTCATTCCGAGCCTTTCCGAGACATCTCTCTTTTTCTTTTCATTATAGACCAGGCCCCAATGGACAAGCTTTTGGCGGTGTCACTCAGGGAAGAAGAGTTGAGTCAATCGCTGCAGGATGTGGATAAGTCTCTGGTCCTCGCCCGCAATTCCTTACAGGCAGCCTACACCGAAGTACAAAGGCTTACGTTGTTAAGGCAGCAGGTACACCAGCGGCAATGAAATGTGTCTCCTTACGAAATAATGCAATGCCTGTGCTTCTTTCTGATTTAAAAAAAATATATATATTTTTTTTTTGAAGTGCACGGCAGAGGTGGACAGTCTGAGAGCCAAGCGCATTGAGATACTGCAGAGCATGCAAGGTAACGTGCTTTCAGACTTGATAGGCGAATCGGGCATACTTTTCACATTTTTTGTCTTGAAGCCCTTGTGCCAGGTGGCACCTTTAATTTCGCGTGTGAGCAAAATTGTTGGCACTCTTCTGTTCTAGAAAGAAGAACCCACAGTCGTCACACAAAAGTAATTCTACATAAAACGTAATGAAAGCTAGCATGTGAAAATCGGATGTTGCCTTTGAACCGTGTTTCAACAAAATGATTTGAAAAGGCACACAATACGGGCCTGCACAAAAATAACACGACTCCTTCAAAAGATTAAAAATCACTTTGGTCTTTTCCAGAAGTGTATTCCGGAAGCTCGAATGTGGAACAGGTGACCACAAGCTCGGCAGCTGCCTCTCCAGACGGCATTCGTCTGAGTCCGTCCTCCGTGTCTTCCCTTCCCATCCTTGTCCCTTCCACCAATGCCCACCAGAC